CAGATACTCTGAAGAAGTGACACTAAGAAACCCAATGCTAATTCTGTAGCATTATGATACAAAATCTAGCAATACTATTCTAGAATTCACTGTTCAGAGTGATATTAGTCTAGTCTCTTATGTTCAATTTCAGCATACATAAAGATAAAGACAGCTACTTCAAAGAGAATGAGAGACATTATGGTAGTCATTATTGACTTCCCCAAAATCAGGTCTTGTAGACCTCAAAAGCCTTTATCATCCTGTAATGATTTGATTAGTTCTATAATGTTCAGTATATATTCAATGTGTGTGAAGATGGGGACAACTATTTGGAAGAAAACTAGAGACAGTAAGATAGACAGCGAAGATCTCCAGTGGACTTGCTTTGAAATCTGTTTCTTTAAATTGTTCTTTATGAACTATTTTGTTCTGTTTTGGCATGTTTAATCTTACCCTCTTTAAGATAGCAAACAAGTGTGTAGGACTGATAACCATATTACTAAGTTTTTGTTGAATCATTGAACAGAACTATTTGCAGCGTCATTATTTGAATATCACTTTGTATACTTTAATTTTGTAACTTGAACAACTATATCTAAGATGAAAATTTGTAACTTATCATCTAGTGATTTCTTTACCTTTTATTTTTCTGAAATTCTGTATTATTTCTACTCTTTTTTTATTTTTTTCTCTTTAATAAAAAAATGATAATTCAAGATTCTGAGCATTCCAACATCTTGAGTCTTCATTTTTTTTTTTCTATAACACCACTGTGTAAAAGGATTAGGACACTGCAGCTGTTTTTGGTAGCTGGGAAAGGTCAGAACATGTGATATATCAAGTCTTGCAGGGTTGGGAAATGTGTGTTAGCTGCTGACTCAATGGGAACTCTGATCTACGCTTGCCTCGGGGAGCATGACATTATCCTTTTATTCCAGGATCATTTCATGAGGCTCTAAATTCTATAAAAGCACATGTCTTTAACTTTTGATGGAGTATCTGGCATATAGCATATATGCAATAAGCATTTCTTGCCTGAAAATATTGAATATTTATTGTTAGCTGGTTACCATGTTCCCAGAAGTCATGGAGGAGGTTGAGAGGTAGGAGGCAGGAGGATCTAAAGTTTGAATTCCATCAGTGCAACTTAGCAAGATACTGTCTTAAAATAAAAAAATAAAATGGTCTAGGGATGAATCTCAGGGTAGACTCCACCTGGGTTTGATCGCCAGTGTGAAAGATAAAAAAAATCACTATAATCTCAAATTTCAGTGGTAATCATTGAGAAACTGCAGTGGCAAGCAGGAACAGCAAAACAATGCCCAAGATTGGGAGTCAGATTTATTTATGTCAGTGGGCACTGATCAGGATCATACCTAGAATATCAGGCCCTGATCCCTAGTGGTCTAGGACTTACATGAGATAGACAAACAGGAAGTACAGTTAGAATGGCTTGCCAGTTGGTGATTGGTTTACCCAATGTGCATCACAGTAACCAGCCATTTCTGAGAGGCAAAAGCAATTGGAATTGGAACACGAAATGTCACCTGGGCAACTAAGAAACTAAACTATAATGGCCAGGCAAGTGCTTTTTCTATATTTTTATAAGCACAAAATTATGAGACATTGATAATTTCTGTATCTGTTAGTTGTGAGCTACACAATACACAGTATCATAAAAATCATTAAAAATCATTACCTCAAATCATTTTCTAGCTCCAAAGCTTGTCTCATTTTCTAGAAATAGGTTCAGTACCGGTATGCATGTATACTTTGCAAGTATTCTAACAAGAATCTTCATACAATGAGAATATCGCCTTTTTCTTTTTTTATTTTACAATATTCTTCTGAAAACGTGTTCTACAATTACCAAATTTCCTGATAATTTTTTCATTTTCCATGTAAAGAACTATCTGTAAAATATAACCTCTTTTATAAGTCACTAAGATTAACTCCATTTATTCATACTGAACAATAATTTATTTTAAAATTTTCATATGGAAAAATTTGCAATCATGGAACAATAGGAATCATAGTTGTATTTCTGATCATGGTATATAACTAAAAAACAAGAACCTTCTAAAGTAAGATAAAAAACAGTGTTCTCACTCTTATCCCTCATTTTTAACCTTCTTTAGAAAATGACCAAAAAATATGAGGAAATCAGATTTCAGAATTATTTGAGGTGTAAATGTTAAATGTTCTGTAATTTTAAAATAAACATACTTCATTCTTAAGCAAGACTTAAATCACTGGCATACTGCATTTATCCTAAAGATGAAAAATTTTTCAGAAGCAATAACTATATATTTGTTGAATAACAAGTTATGTTTTTATCTAAATTATGGAATTATGTCTCATGTAAGCATTTAAAATTAAACTAAGACTAGGTAACAAGTATGCACTGGGTATTTCAAGAAGCTAGAAGAAAAATATTAAATGTTTTCATCTTCAACAAAATGATACATGACTGTGCAAATAAATATATTTGACCTGATTTAAGTATTACCCAATGTATACATGTATAAAAACATCAGATAATATTGCTATCCATATTTTTATGCTTTTCTGAATATGTTTATAAAGATAAAATAAAATTAGACTAAATATTGACCATGTAAGGAAGATTAGTGTAAAGGCTTATTGAGAGTGGTGGTTTTAAATCTGTTTTTTTCTTTAATAATATGAAACATTGAAAATGCCTTTACTTGACTTTCAAGTTTTTTATTACAAAATGACAATTTCTAACACAGAATATTATTTTGAGGATGTCATGAACAATGTGTTTAATCCTGTCTTTCTCAATGATGAGACAACATACAGATTTTTTTCTCAGTGACTACAGAAATAATGTATATATTCTAAGTATCTAGTGTTTAATTAGAATTGGATATTTTTAGAATTAGATTTTATGTATCATTTTATTCAATAAAATTTTAAACCATTAAGCTCATGTACCTCTCAGTTTTTAAGAAAACTCAGTTGTAGAACAATAAAGGGAAACTCTAAAAAGTAGCAACCAATAGCATAACTGTAGCCAGAAACTTAGGTATTTCTTAGATGAATTAGAAATGCTACAAAATTCATTGTTTTCCTTCAGTGTTGATAGGTTTCAGGTAGGTATGCTGTCCAGAAGACATACTAATTGTAGGAAAGATTATTTGAGTTGTACATTATATCACTTCATTATATTTGAAGCCAAAATCAAAAGCACTATTTCAGACATGCTTTTATTGACACAATTAATCAGAAAATGTTACTCTGTTTTTATGCATCTTGGTTTAGTACTTGTTCCAAACTGTAATGTTAGCCATATGAGAGTCTTAATAAGTAAATATGTAGAAATAGCAACCTTTAGCATATTTACATTTAGTTAGGTTTTCAACCAAAATTTCTAGTTCATATAACAAATAGCTAATGTGAATTGTGCTTCCTTTGTGGTACTTTTATGAAATTTATATGCAATACCTCATTCAAAGTCCAGTCGTCCTTTTAGGATCGATGTTATTAGCACGATTTTGTTAGGGAGGAAATTGAGACCCAGAGAATTCAAGTCTCATGTCCAATCTTCCAAGCAAAGAAGGAGGCAAACTCCATGATTAAAATCTCCTGAATCTGTGCCTACTAACCACATGATTATGCTAGGGGATGTAAAAACCTCTGTGTCTGGAGGTGTAGATGTGACACTTAGCGAAGCAAGCAGCAGCTCTGCCTTCGTAGATACAGACAACACAAAACAGAAGTGCAAGATCATTAGTGGTCTGCCAATGAGTTTCAAGGACAAGTGATGATATTTTTTCTAATATAGTAATAGAACTCTTCAAATAAGAGCAGTGAATATATTTTCTAAGAAATAAGAAGAAATTTAAAGCAAAATCGTCAAACCCAAATGTAGCCATCGTAGTTAAGGAATAGAGGAATAGGAGCAGTTAGATTTAGCTGGCACGACTGATACAAAGCTATTGCTTTTGGTCATGCCAAAGTCCACAAAATAGAAATACTAGTAGTCTGTATCTTAGGGTCTAATGAAGCTAAGCTGTAGATTTAACTAAAGCTAGAAATAGAATGTATCCAATTATGGTAGTCTTAAATGTGCACTGAAAATTGTTTTTGTCCTAAAAACAATACAATATCACAGCTAGCTTTGAACAGACAAAACCATTGAAATAGCATTCTGTTAGCTTAGATCCAACTCGTGTGAATGAGAGAGGTAATGTGATGTGACTAATCACAAGCTATTGCTAAAAATGTGTTTGAAGTAAAAATCCATGAATGAGAATAAAAAGGAAAAAGCAGATATAAAAAGAAAAAAGAACAGCTTCATTAAGCTTCATTACTCTTCATATGTAGTTGTAATTTCTTAGACTCTAACAAGAATACATTCATATGCAGTTGCCTCTCAAAATTCATGTAACAGTTTTAGTTTTTGAATTAATTTTGTAGTTCTTATTTAGAAAATGGAAGTGAGATTGTACACACATATTAAAGAAGTGATGTAGTACACATCCAAAAATCACTTTGTCCTGATACTTAAATACAGCCAGTAGTGTTATTTTTTTTAAAAAAAAATATCATTACCCCTCTTCAGTTTTTGATTATTAATTTGTTACTTTGTCAATAAGACATTGTTCTTTATTATATTTCAGCTTTCTTTTAATAAAGATGCTAAAAAAATCACATTAAACAAAATCAACTTACAGAATAATATAACTCACCATGAAATTGAAACTTACACTATTGTCCTTACTATTAAAGAGCGGCCAAAGAAAGGTCTGAGTTGTAATGTCTTATTTAGCAACAGCTATACAAATGTATAAAATTGAGTAGCTAACAAACAGCTAGGATTCAGGTATGAGATTGTTGATCATTTTGTTAATAACTATAATGTACTTTCTGGTTGAATATTGTTTGTGTATGTGTTGTGCTTTAGGTAAATCATGCATAAGTGAAGTAAATTAACACGGTTATTGTCTAAAATGATCAGTGCTATTTAATGAGCCCAGTTCATATTTACACAGGTATGACATCAAAGATGATTACACACTGAGAATTAAAAAGGCTATGAGTACAGATGAAGGTACCTACATGTGTGTTGCTGAGAATCGGGTGGGGAAAGTGGAAGCCTCCGCTACCCTCACTGTCCGAGGTAAGAGACCTAACATATCAAATATAATTGAACTGAACCAGGAGACTAATAGTTCAAGTTGATAAGTTAGTTCACATTCCAGATAACACTATGTTCTGTTAAATACTTAACTTTTGTGAATTTCTGTCATTAATTGAAATAAAATTACTGTACTTCCAAATTTAGGATCCAAGTGATGATCACTGAAGATACTAACTCTAAGTAAAGAGTAACTTACGTGGAAGAAATAGTTTGTACTGCTTAAAAATAAATTTTTAAAAGAAAAGGAAATATGTAAACTGATCTTTTAAATTCCCATTGCTTTCAACTGCATACTGCTTGTAAATGATATGGGCTCCAGAGATACTCAGATGTTTTCTGTTCATCAGTTTATCACTTTATCCTTGTAATTTGGCATTCAAAAATCAATCTGAAAAAAGTAAGCATGAAAATAAGGTGGAAATAGATAACAGAGAAGTTCCTGTATACTGATAACCTGATTTAGAGAGTGATTCATAAAGTTCACTGGCCTTAAAAATTGAAATATTGCTATTCTTGTAATGACTTTCACTTTCAGGGTGCTGTGCACTTTCTGAGTCTTACAAGAACGTTCATTTATAGACTCAAAAGAATCGTTTGTAAGCGAAAGAAAGCATTGCTTAATCCTACAGAGCACTAGAATAAGTAACTGTCTTCCTGGTGGAACATGTTGATCACAGGAAGTAAATTACGTAGTTCACAGAACCAAGTTGTATCCTGAAGACAGCAAACGTTTACCCTTTCCAAAGAGACGTTTCTGTGGTATTGTTTACACTTACAGGACTTTAAGCAGCGATAGACAACCTCATCTCCATTCCGTCCTTCAGCCGACAGTGCCTCCCCATCTCATCTTTGGTGATAAGGAAGTTAGCAGCACGCATTCTTCACACCATCCCTTACATCTGGCCCTGTTTGGTCATAACTTGGATCCTTGGGCAGCTTTGCTCTGATAAACTTTTATAAGATTAGGAGAAGAATTTGGAGAAATATAGAATTGGAAGAAATGTATTAGGGATTTTTTTTTAAAAAGTGCTCCTCCATTTAGTAAGAGAAAAAAATGACTTCTAATGACCTACAATGCAGGCTTCAAATCATGCAGAACTCATTTTCTCCCACATACCTGGGAAACACTGTTTCTGTATTTCTCAATTGTTTCACTCCTGATCTATCTAAGCAATATTTTTTCCTCTAGACAGTGTAGCCTGAACATCAATACCAGAAAAATATAAACAAAATAGACTACGTAATTGTTTAAAAACATTTTCATTCCTCATTAGATATCAGATCATTAAAGACTATAATAATATATGAATTGAATGTATACACTGATTTTATCTGTTCAAAATCTAATAACTCCTGTGAAGCAATGAACACTCTTTAGCTTACGTATTCTGTTTTTCTGTTAAAGTAACCCTTTGCTGAACAATTTACCTGACCAAACGATCCCAAATTGTGTGTGTGTGTGTGTGTGTGTGTGTGTGTGTGTGTATTTCTGAAGTGAATGGAAAAAAATACAGTAAACAACCCAGTAAGAAATGTTTCATTCAAAAAATATTTGCTGACCAAACGAAAGAAGAAAAAATATGAGGAGACGTTTGTTTGTGAAGCAGCAGGAATTCTTTTATCCTTGAATTGTTGGATCAGTGAGACTTGAAGTGGTTTGCTTGCTTTCAGATCTTTTCCAATTGTTGTTATGAATTGTTGAAAGTTTCACATTTCACATTTCATTTAACAACCATGCTCCTCATACTTGAATGTTTGAAACTAACATATAAAACCAACTTTAAAATAATAAAAATTAATTTAAAAATATTTTTTTAAAAATTCAGCAAATCTTAAATAACTTTTAGAAAATTAACAAATCTTCAATGGTTTTTTCCCTAATCTATAGCCTTTAAGTGGATTAGTGTTCATTATGTATGGTATCAATTTTATCACTTGTCTATAATCGAAACTTCAAAACTAAGGTTAAAGAAAATGAACGTGCATATTGCAATGTAATGTAGAATAAAATATTTAAAACATTTTTTACTATTGGTAAATAAATCAATTGGAATTTCTCATGTTAAGAGGGTAAGAAGGGAAAATTATATCTACTTTTTCTGTATTATTTTGTGCACATATTAAAATGTTATGAGGTTTTTGGAATCGTTTTAATAAAACAGTGTCAACTGACCAAAAAGCAGTATACATTGTCATCTATTTAATGTAGGAACACAGTTTAATTTGCTGATTTGAAAACACCCACTTGCTGTGTTTTTTTTCCACAATGAAATGTTGCTGTGTAAATTTTTTTTTTATGTTTCTACTAAAATTGTATCATGATGTTCACATTAGCTAATGGAGGAAATTTCTAAAATAGAGAAATAGTAAGTGGTTTTCCATTTGAAAATACTATAAAATAGATCTTAAAATTAAGGTTACCACCCAACAGTTTCTCTCTTTGCTGACTGATAAACAAATGAGAGAAAAGCACAGTTAGTCAATAAGAAGCCAAGCATGTATTTCCTAATGGAATAATTTACCAACAGAAATTTTTAAATTGCTTAATATGGCTTAAATAATACAAACTGCCTATCTGTAAAAACAATTTTCACCGCTTTTTAATTATTTCATTGCTTTTGCATAAATAAAGATATTCCTGAAGAAAGTTTCTCATAAGAAAGTAAAGTCTTAAAGTTTTATTCTAAAGTGAAGCAATTTATTTATTTCAACATGGTTTCTCACCAGAGGTTCTTTTTTTTTGTCCTTAATATCATAAACTCAAAGCATCTTTTTTATGCCTTAAGGTAATGCTTGAAATCCAACATTATATAGCTACTAAAATAGTACCAATTGCAAAGTGAGAGGCAGGAGATATTGATTAGAATAAGGCATGACTTTTTGATGTTAATCTGTTATCTTGTTCTTTGTAATTAGGGTCATTTTACACTGAGCTAAATATTGTCTTATTTTGAAATAGGATCTTGCTAAGTTGCCCAGGTGGGATCCAAATTGTGATCCAACTCTCCAGGTTTTCATTAATAGTGGGGTAATTATTTTTATTTTGGTTTAAACCATTATGCAAAAAAATATGAACCTGGTACCAAAAAAAAAAAAAAAAATGAAACCCTGGGCAATGTACCTCCTTTTTTATCTTGCTAAGAAACTCACTGTGTATGATAGGACATAATAGGATTTCCCTAATCTAGAATTTTTACACTGCTACTACAATTGCCTTGCCTTATTGTTTTTTTTTTCTATTTTCTTGTGAATAATACTACTGTAAAAAAAAAAAAAAGCACAACTTTCAGATAGAGGCAACCATATCATTATTTTTGGAAATTATACAAAGTTTACGTTGTGATGTGTGAGTTGAATGAATGAATAAGAACATATTTGCAATTTTGTGTCTATCTCACTACGCCCAAAATCATCATCAATAGAAAAATAACCATACATTGTTCTACGGACATATTATGATACACTAAGCCTATATGCCTATGTCCTTGGTGAGTGAAAGACTGCCCTGTTTATATTTTAAATGCAAAGCTTTATAAATGTTCAAATAATCTTAACTGTATTTCTTCTTTATTTGGCTATTGAGGGTGCATACTGTATAATATCGTTTTTTATAAAATACTGTGTTAAAAATAAATTGACGTTCTTTTGAGAGAGTATTTTTATTCATCAATATTTCTTATAATTCCTGTGCATTAATAACAAGAGCAGGCTATTACTACTGATTTTAGTGATTAGACTTTATGATATAATAAAAATAATAATTTTAGGAACACTAGTTTTAAAGTCATTCTCAATGTGTGCAAGACTCAACTTGTCAGTCATTGGGACAGGACCTTGCTAAAGACCTGTCCTGGCACCTCCAAAAAGAAGAAAAAAATGTTTAACAGTAGTTAGGGAGTGCCAAGCTGAAATCTCTAAGGATGTTCCAACCTATTTGTTACATTTTCGTCCACCCTGTCCATGGACGAAAACTGATGTGATCTTAACTTATTCCTGACTGAAAACAGCATCAGGGGCTTTTCTGTAGTGCTTGTAATGGTTCTGACTAACCATGCTTAAAATCCAATTGCTATTTAAATCAGAAAGTGAGACCTTCTTTTAGTGACATGACATTTACCAGTCTGTGACCGGAATAGTTTATATGCAGCAGGTCTTATCTGTGGGGTAGCCCAAGACTATTTATTTCCAGATCTTTGAAATGATACCTGTAGTAACAGATACTTGTAAGACTTGACCTAAAATATCTCTCATATTCTTTATAGTCAGTCTTAAACTTCAAAATAATTATTTTCTTAGAACTGTATTTATAAATTTAAGTTTTATCAAACTCAGAACATTCTATTCATGGTTGAATTATGAGACTACAAATCATTCTATTGTCCATACTTAAATGTAGCATTACACATCATGCATTCTGATAATTTTCTTTTCTTTCTTTTTTTAATTCCTTTTTTTATGTTCTCACCACACCATTGTAATGTCTACAGCTCGCCCTGTTGGTAAGTAGCCATCCTTCTATCCATTTAGCATGGTTTTGTATAATGTTTCATAATTCATGCATATTAACACTTAAAGGAACTAAATGCATTTATTCACCTATGTTATTATTTGAGGAGCTGTTTGCTATAAAAGTTGCTTCTCAGTCTGTCATCCCTTTGATAAACCATTTTTGTAGTGATTTCTCCACATAGCAATCAGTAAGTACCCATTTTTCATGTAAAAGAATAGAAAAATTATTGATTTTATGAACTGCTAATTCTCTTAAGAAAAAAGTATTGTCTTTTCCATTGTATTATACTATCGTAAGTATTAGTTATGACTGTTATTAGTTAAAGTTAAGTTTTAAGCTAAAATTAAGAAGCTTGATTAATTACTTTTATTTTAAAGTGTCCAAACTCCCAACTCTTCAGAAGTATTTTTTCTGCTATATCTACTACTTATTATTGGCATGTCCATCTGAAAAAAATAAATACAATGCTTCAAGTTATTATAAATAGGTTTCTTTTCCTTAGCATGGAAGGTAGAGGAAAGTTTGTCCTTTGGCATGAAAATTTAGTGATTGCTTTTTTAATGTATCTCATTGATAGTTTGGCTTTGCAAAATTAAATAGCTTGCATACAGAAATTTAAATGATGTGTTTGTAAACATTGGAATAATGAAATGTTTTCAAGTTTATTGATGACAAACTTTCTGAGGCATGTTCAAAGTTTTATTTAACCCACCCAATTTTATTAAATCTTGGTAACTGTGGTATAAGTAAATGAAAAAATGAATGCATAAATGGGTAGCTGAATGAATGAATGAATCAGCACATTGCTTCTTTAATAAATCAAAAATTATATTAATAACGTATTCAGTTTTCAAAGATTATAAATTGTCCATCAGGCTTCAAAGGCTTTTTTGATGTACTGGCTTGACATTGATTGCATTTAACCAATATAGGTTGAAATACTCATAGACATTATTATTATACTTGCATGTTTTTCTATCACTAGCAAATATAGTAAACAAAATTTTGGTTTCCAAACTTGAAATTCTAACATGGTTTTTTTTAGCAGTTTTTTTGTAATTACTATTTTAGTATCTTCAATCCTCATTTACTTCTTTTATGAAATGGAGAGAATGCTATTCGCTTAGAAAAGCTGTTACACAACTGGCTTAATTTTAAGACTGATTTTGTGAAAAGTGTTCTGTATACCATTCTTTTCTATTATATTTTAGTTTGTGTGACTTTTTGCATTTTGATGTTTAAAATATAATTATTGCTTAAGTTAATTGAAATACAAATTGCAAGCAAATTTTTGGGGCACAGTTGTTAAATCAATCATGCTTTTTAAAATCAAAGCTTAAAAATTGAGGAGTGTGTTATAATAACTTTTGATTATCATTTTCTTGCATGTGTACCAATTCCTATTAATGCTAACTTTATGTGTCTATGAGTTAAGAAGAAAATGGGACAGAATGAAATGACACAAGGAAAGACAGAGAAGTGATACCAGACTATCTGACCACTCTATTAGATTTCTGCTCTCAGCTCTTGGGAGCTAGATCTCAGCTCTGTGTCAAAAGAGAAGTATTTGGGTGGGGTGTAGCTCAGCGGCATAAGGGCCTGTCTGGTAAGTGCAAGGTCCTGAATTTGATTCTTGCTCCCAAACAAAGAAATGCTAAAGAGAAGTATTTTTATTATATATACTTACTTATATATTAAAATATAAATGGGGAGATTTATATATAAATTATATATAAGATGATAAATTATATATCATAAAATACTAATTAAGGCTAATTATAGCAATCTTACTCTTTTTGGCATTCTTAAAAACTACTCAATAAAAACTTCACAAGTTTATCAATAATTTAAATTACTAATCTTATATTTTTATAGTAAATGTTAAAAGAAGAATACATTAGTCAATATAAGGATGCATTGTGTACTTCAGACTTTAAGTTGTTTTTACATTGTCAAGAATAATTATGAGAAAAAAAATAATTCAAACAACCAAAACATTTGCACCTAAAATATTGATCCCTCTAAAGAAATCTTATGAAAACACACCATGACTGCTTCATGTATATAATGTTATAAGTTCTCAGAACATCATACATTAAACATTTCTGATCTATTTAAAACTATTAAGAAAAGAAAAAATACAGAGATTAAAGTGCTGTGATTTTTAAAGGTATTAAGATGTATCTGTCACCTGTAAGGCATTTCAAAAGTTTTGTCTAATTTTTATTCTTGTTTAAAATGATTTCTTGTATTCCCATTGGATTGGAAATAAAGAATAGCTGCTTGTCACATTGTACTTTATTCGTGGGAAGTCTGTCATTTCATAAATCTATCTCAGATGACTTATGACAATGTTCAGAAATATGAAGAACTATACTTTAAACCTGACAACTGTTATTAATATTGGAAATGAATGTTAGATATATTTTATTGGACTATGAAAGAAGAGACTATTTTAAAGTGAGACTATTTTAAAATGAGGAATCTAGCCTGGTGTTTCTTTGTATCAACCGCTTGCACCAATTTAATTCAGTAACTGTAGATATTTAAAACATTTAGTGTAAGGCCAAGAGATAAAAGACAAGTAATATAATGTATTAAATTTAGTTTTTAATTTCTGTATTAATTTGGTGAGGAAATTTGTATGAAGTACATCAAATTAAGAGAGTAGCAACTGCTGAAGCTTTTGAAAGAAAATTACAAATCCATGCGGATTCTGGAATACTTATAGATTCAGAGAACACTCACTACATCATATCAGTTGAAACTTCTGTGTGAAATGCCCCATTTAAACACCATACTATAAATCACAAATGAAAGTTTCACTCAATTGGAAGGCTTAGGAGCTACAGTTATGTTAAAGATATTGGAACTCGATGCATTTCACATCTGGATTTAAACACTGTTAAACAGCAGTTTTGAGATTCTGTGAAAATTTGATCCAGATAATTCTCAAATGAAGTCTATTACTGAAAGCAGTCAACTGCATACTTGCAAACAAAGGAAACTATATATTACATTTACTCATCTTTACTATCAGCAGCGTCTCAAAAAGCACTTTAAAGCATCTACTATATTTATTATTTACCAAAGAATCTTTGATAAACAGAAATCCACCAAACTTCCCTATGATTTTGACTTTTGTGTTTTTCCAAAGGCATTCTTTATATAAAAAGCCAAACTGCATCTTTGTGTGCAGTTAGCTATGTGCGTTGAAATATTCATTTGTTTATTTGGAAAACTCTTCTGATGAAGGAACTGACAAGAAAAAAATCTAAATATGGATAAATATCTTACTTCCTATAACCATCTGTCTTATTTTTCTATCGGAAGCTCTTCCCAAGCTTAAAAATAAAAAAGAACATCTATTTTGGAGATGGGCAACACATTTTTTTCCCTAGCAGCAACTCAAAACATGATGAGTAATTTGGAAAAGAACTGTCAAATCTACCAGCTGCCTTTCTCGTGAGGCTGAGCCCTGCTCTGTTTTGTATCCATGCGCCATATGCTAACTGCTGATCCTCTCAAATATAGAAATTAAAAATTGAGTGTATCAGGTGAAATTTGCTTGCAATATTATAAACAAAGTAACAGCATACAAATTTAAAGAATTTTCTATGTATTTCCAAATTCTGCAACACTAACACCTGTTTCCTTTGGATAGAAAAATATCAATTAATATGCTAGAATCTATAAACAAGTCTTGAAAATACATATTCTTGGCAAAATTCAACATTCTTATTAACAAAATTTTTTTAAAAAAAGAGATCTGTGGAACATATTTTTAATGGTTTTGCTGCTCAAACACAAAAATAAACATATCCTCAAGTTAGAAAGTTCTATTTTATGAGGTGAAGTAGTTTTTTTTATAACAATCTGTAAAACATTGTGTTCTTGAGGCTACAAGTTCAATAAAGACAGTGATTGAGAAATTGATCTCAGCATGTTAGAAATCAAACGTCACTTTAGAAACTATCATAAACATTCCCAGCACTTTCATCTCTCACTCCATCTCAAAATTTGGGAAATTTTATGTGTTGTGTACATTTTAAATGAATATTGAAAACATTCCAGTTTTTTATTTTTTTAAATCAGAAAGCATGTAGTTTTTATGTGTAGTATTTAAATGCAGTATCTCCAAAGATGCCCTGAGTGTATTTTGGAAGTAGACGTAGATTTTAATTCCTTGTGTTCTTTTTATGGACAAACTGCTGCCCCATGACATGAGTTGACCCCTCTTTCCTAAAAGCACTTAATGTTTCCTGCACCTGGCACTAATTAACGACATTACAGAGTCCCAATTAATTATTACTAAGCATCATGTCTTTTCATTGCTCCATATGGTTTGATTAAATGATAGACCCAAAATAATATATCCAGGCCTGGCTTGTGTATTCCTTCCAAAAGAGTTTCTTTCATGTGAAGTGTTTGAAATACCTTAAACTAACTGTAATTTTTAACGTGAAAAGCAAGTCCCAGTTATTTCTCTTTTTAAACTGGTTTTATCATTGTGTGTTTTGTAGTGTCTATTCATTGTCTTTTCAGGGAAAGCTAGGGATAAAATTATAGAATTATATATATATATATATATATATATTTTTTTTTTTCTTTTTCACATCTTGGTGAAAAGGATCTCTTGTTTTGGTACTGAATGATTTTATAGTGAGGTCTGAAACTTCCAGAATATTTTTCTATTTTTGCTAGAATGTCCTTTTACTATACTGGATGTATATCTATGTAGTTTGTTTCTTCCAGATATCTTTCTACTGGCTTATACTTTAGCTTTGATCATCTTGTACCTAATATTCTTGGACACGTCCAGACTCTTCAATCTATAGAAGCATATTAATTTACTTTGTTTCATGAATGATTTCTTCTGTTTTATCCTTGAATTTTTTTCATGTTTCAATTTTTGTTCTCTTCAAATACATTGATTATGATGGCTTACACTCTTCTACATTTCATGTTTGTCAATTTATATGTAATAAT